CACTCACATTTCGGCATGGTATTTTGAACAAAAATACCAAGAAAACCCCTTGGGGCTTAAGAGGTTAAAATAAAAATGTTAAATATTTTTTTTAATTGTCTGTTTTTCAAGTATAATTTAAAACAATACTGTATATTGAAAGATCTTTTGCCATGCTCGTCTTTCTGATCTGTCAAGTTTTAGATGTTTACATGATGTTATCTTTTGGCAAGAATGTCTTTGATTTTGCTACAGCCATCCATCTCTCTGCTTTGTTGTTGTTCCAGGTTTGTTCCCTCTCAGCACTAAACTTGCAAGAACCACCCAGGAAACTACAGGGTGGCAGTTCTCCCGAGGTTAGTGACAGAGTTTGTTTAGTGTGACGCTAGCATAGCAATGGACAAGTTTGTGACAAAAAAAAGGCCAAATGAAGYGACCATCAGCCCTGYTATGGAGGACGCTGCGTAAAAAACTCCTGGCCAAGTAAAATCAGGACGTTTGAGGCAGCATACATYAAATATATTCAATAGTGAATAAAARTGATGAAAAATCATTCTAAAAWGTTGATATTATATGTATTGATGTRTTTTGTTGTCRACTTGCAAGGGGGGTCCCCGGCCAGAAGCTAAAGTTGTTTGGGGGGCCTTGGCATGGAAAAGTTTGGGAACACCTGCTCCATGCARCACTGGATGAGTGACAGGACAGGGGCGTTTCAGGAACCAATCAGATTTCAGCTGAAGCCAACACTATGCTTCTGTAGCCAAGCCCCTGAGTTACAAAGAATAAACATTTTAGCAAATTGTTTCAATCAGGGTTGAAATGCTTTAACTTTTTACACAGTACTTTAAAAAAATCCAGCAATTATTTGTGTTATTATATTTTCATATTTACATGACATCTGCACAATTTTGAAATGTCATAATTATTACAACACACCATGAAGTTATTAGTTTTGTGTGTTTTTATATCTGTGCTCTGTCGCCCCCATCAGGCGCTCGGCGGTACTGCTACAACCGGCCACAATAGGCAGTGGGAGTGGACGAGCACGAGCCGAGCGGGCGGTGTGTCTTCACGGGATTCACCGCCGTCCACCCCTCACCGTGTCCGAACCCCCACCTCCCCTGCCCTCCCCCCTCGGTTTGGGAGCAGGAGCCGGGCGCCTGGGAGCTGGATGTATTGATCTGTTTGGTCGCAGTGCTTTTCCGGCGGCTCCTCCATGCGTCAGCTCCGGGGATGGATCAGGAATCCGCTGCGGCGTCTGCGGGCAGTTTAATCTCCCTGAACGAACATGAGCAGAGGTATTACTCAGGTCTCCACGCGCTGTGTCAGGCTGCTGCTGCTGCTGCTGACGCTCCGGGGAAACTGTCCTCCAGCAAAGTGGCGGAGCTGTTCAAGGCGTCTCAGCTACCTCCAGAATGCCTGCATAAAGTGAGTGATGTAGTGTGTGTGTGTGTGTGTGTGTGTGTGTGTGTGTGTGTGTGT